AAATAAGAATACCTTTGACAATGACAATGACAATCTTTATTCATCTCACAAGGAGGGATTTGTCTTGGTCATTTACAATGGCAGTGGTAATGCAAAGGCCAAGTACACTCCAGCACACACACTCAATAAGACAAGACAGAAATACATGCCCCAGGTGTCTAAAAATGGAGAAATTTAAATGGCACAAAATCGGTCATCTTTAGCACAAATTCCAACAAAACTTCGAGAAAAAAAATTTACAAACAGAAGGGCGTCAGATTGGCCAATAAGGAGAAAACCAATCAATGTGCTCGAAAAGTTATCATTTTATCAATATTGTCACTATAAGTACTACTAACTACAGACGTTTCTGAATTTTTAAAAAGGCTATACATGGACAAAATAAAACAAGCTTAACTATAGACCAAAACAATTTAAGGTGTGGCTAATGTAATGTTCCCCTATACTTTTCAAATATTAAAGATTTCTTCTAAAAAGAGCATCTCAGTCCCTGTCTAACCTACATTTGCTTTCACTCGTGTCGTTGATTCTATCAAGCCAAACAAGACCCAGCACTTGTAATTTTAATTGCTGGATCCGTATTGATTGTAAATTGTTTTATATTCCAAGGTCGAGTTAGATAAACCGTCACAGCAAACAGACGAAGATGTTTTTAAAAAGATCTCTGTACGTGAATCGAATTCACGTTTTCTCAGCGCAATGGCGAAAGGCCGAACTACATCACTGTAGACTAAACACAGTTGACTGTAAGAAAACCTACCATGCAATCTGATCTTATAAACTGCGCCCCTTGGTCCTTATTCAAGACTTACTTGTTTAATCGTTTAACTAAGGAGATGTTAATCGACATAAAAACAATCCCTTGACGCAGGGCAGGGAATAAGCAGAGTGGGGACACAGAAATGATAGGAAAAAGCAAAGAAGTGGGGCCTGCGAGTTGGGGGGGTACCTTAGAATACAGTATTTCCAGTTTGGGGCAAAATTGAAGCTGAGTTATGAACTTCACCTGTTAGTTTAAATCACAGGGCACATTTTAATCTTAGTCTGGGATCGATATCTTAACTTTTTTTAAAGGTGGGGAACGTGTATGGAGATATTTAAAGCGAATGGCAACTGGGAGGCAAAACTGTGTTTCGGGGGTACTCCTGAACATTTTTCGAAACTGGTTATACTGCCTTTTAAATAAAAGTTCAGCAGTGGCACCTTCCTACCACTCATTCGTGTTGTTGAGTCTACCCTAGTTTATGCAGCTATAGTAACTGATTACTATTGGTCGTAAATGTTTTCTATCCCCAAAGGATAAGAATTTAATCTTAACACTAGAGACAGTGATGCCTATAGTCACACAGACGATGATGGTTCTGATTCACAAACTACATAACATTGACCCAGTCGCTTCCATGTTATTGTAATGGACACCAAGAAAAGCAAACAGCTTACGAGAATAATCAACAGATCCCATCGGCTCATGGTAGGCAGAGCTGTGATAGAAGCGTTCGAAGAAACAAAGAGTAAAGATCTGAATCAACAGAGGATGTCTGCTCATCAAACTCAGCATGATTTGCGATTTTTGTCGATCTTTGTTTAGAGAAGACCATTGTGCACGTCTGAAGAATATTGATTTAGTCTCGAGGAAGGTAGTCTTTTCCACGAAGGATATCGCGCAAAGGCAATAGATAGATAGATAGATAGATAGATAGATAGATAGATAGATAGATAGATAGATA